AAGACTCCCATAAGTATGTCCCCCTACCAACTTGTATATCGAAAGTCTTGCCATTTGCTGGTAGAGCTTGAGCATAAGGCTATATGGGCACTAAACAAGCTAAATTTGGATTGGGGCGCCGCATCATATCAGGGAATGAGTGACTTGAATGTCCTTGATGAGTTTCGCCTAAGAGCTTATTATAGTTCAGCTTTGTACAAGGAGAAGATGAAAAAGTATCATGATCGAAGGATTGAAAAGCAAAAATTTGTTGTTGGTGATCTTGTGCTTCTATTCAACTATAGCTTGCACTTGTTTCAGGGCATGCTAAAGTCTAAGTTAACCGGGCCATTCTTAGTAATGCACCTGCTCCCATATGGAGCGGTCGATCTGGAGAACAGTGGCAGAACAAGGTTTAAGGTAAACAGGCAAAGGATCAAGGTCTATCTGGGAAACGCGGAAAGTGTGCAAGAAGTTGTTGAGGCCTATTATCTTGATGTAGTCTGAGTAATCAAGAGGCCTGTGTCGTGCCGCGACGTTAAATCAAGCGCTGCTTGGGAGGCAACCCAAGATGTACCATCTAGACAACTATAGGTTTTTCTTTTCGGTTTGGTAGTTTTCTTGGTTTATTTGTTTTTCTATATTCTTTTAGATAGGTGCTTTATTTTCATTTTAGTGTTGGCTAGTTATAGCATAGGGTCCGTGCCTAAAAAGTGTCCAAAATATGTAAAAAGGAAGGCCTAATGGCATCTGCAGGGACGAAAAGAAAAAAATGTAGAAAATGTCTGGTGCAGAGGTCTACGGAGACTATCGATGGTCCGTAGGTCAAACTACGAACCGTGAATGGTAGTGGTAGACCCCAGGTAAGTTTCCTAAATTTTTCTAAGTACGTAAGTGACCTATGGAACTTATCTACACTCCGTAAGTCGACCCACGGACCGTAGACGGTGTCTCGTGGCTCCAAACCCTAAAACTGCATGACTCGACCCGAACCTCTTTTAAGTAACCCCCCCCCCCCTAAAAACCCCCCCCCCCCATTGTTTAAACATTCCCCCCGTTACCAAAATCCACCCAAACCATTTTTGTAAGGTCTTCTCCTCCATAACCCTCCATATTACCACAATATCCCATTAATCAATCGACCTTCTTACCCCAATATTCCCAATTCACTCTTCTCTCTCCCAAATTCTTTCACTCCCCATTTCCTAGAAGTTCTGGTGTCCGGGTTCGATGAAAAAGGCTAGTTGGAGGTTGTTGGAAGTCTAAAGTCTTCACATAATCACCCATTTTCTTGGCTTGTAAGGTAATTGACTTTCCCTTCACTTTGAATTCTGATTCATTGTTGTTATAGAAAGTGGATCTTGACCTTGGGTTGTTGATTGTATTAAATTGTATGTTAAACTAAAATTAGAAACACCTTTGGGACGATAGATTGTGAATGTGTTGTGTTTGTAATATGTTAAATCTGTGCATTAAGAGTCTAAATGAAATTTTCGACTTAGGGTTTCTAGTCCCATATGTAATATCTATAAAACATTTGAGTAATTAGAACCTTACGGATGACTGACTATAAAAAATTGTGTTGAAATGTACGATTAGACTAAGGTCAATTGTTTGAATTGGTAGAAAACTTGGTTTCTAATAGAAGCATGCCTGATACCTGGCACAGACCTGATCCACAAGACCCCGTCTATGGACTGTAGGTAAGTCTACGGACCGTAGATCAAGTCTGTGGTATGTGGCACAAGCAATTCTACTAAGTGTGGAACCACGCAGGTGGACTACGATCCGTAGGTCAATCTACGGACCGTTCTACACATCCATGGTTCCCATCAGAGCCCAACTTTTTGAGACCTTTGACCTACGGAGGAGATCCACGGACCGTAGGTCAACCTATAGATCGTAAGTGGCCACTGAAGCTACTATCTAGAAATATTTTAGTTTTTGTTTGGTTTGTTCTATGTTCTAAAAAAATTTCGATTGTGTTTTTATTTTATACGGGTGCTAATTCTTCCTCCACATGTACCATGGCCACAAAGAAGCCGTTGCCGAAAAGGGTAGGTCCAAATCAACAGCACCAACCCGTCGGATGACCGTCAATGATACTGATGCGGAGAATGACCCCGCATATGTCCCCCCCACCAAAAGGACATCCCCCACAGCACCCAAGACTACCCGAAATCAATCCAAGCAGGTGGTTCCCGACGTAGTCACTTCCTCCCACTCTGATGAAGAGGATACACTGATCGGATCACTGGCTAGGTCTGCTTCTGGTTCTGAGTCCGCCTCTGCTTCAGGGTCGACTTCTGGCTCCGCCACAAGCTAAGTTCACATGACAAAGCCGCCTCGTCTGATGAGGCTACTAGTTCGGGGGAGGTTCCAGTGCCACCAAACACAGACACTCATTTGGTTGCTGAGGAGCCTAATAGATGGTACGTTGAGGGTCAATGGCAGATATACATGGATGCCTCGATGTTAAATGAAAAGAGGAAGAAGGCCCAGCTGATCACTGAGAAGCGCAGAGTTCTCACAGAGAGGCTACACACCATACCCAACATCCACCAGCTCTCTCAAAAACACAAATGCGAGTGGATGGATCGGATCCCTGGGAACTATAGCGCGGAGATAGTGAGAGAATTCTATGCCTCCTATGCTGCCACACTTTGTGGTTCTATCGACAAGAGGTCCAAATCCACAGCCCAGGACCTCTTACTTCCACACTAGTCCGAGGTTTTTCGGTTGACATATCACAGATCACCATCAGCCGATTCCTCTATTGTTCGGGGAGTATTTCAGCACTCAACACCACCAAATTTGACTATTGGTGGGACATTGTAAGGAGTGAAGCATTCCAGCGTAATGTAGAGCAGATGGAGGCCGTATTAGTTTAGCTGGCCAGGCACATAGTTGTGGATGGAGAGCCTGTGGAGTGGCTCAGCACACCTCACTTGTGTATTCAAAAGGCCACCCTCAATTTGGTGGCCAAGTTCTTTTGGCTTTTGGTATGGAACAGGGTATTGCCCACTAAGGCTGATAATGCGCTTACTTGGGATAGAGCAGTGATGGTTCCGTCCTTGGTAGCTGGGTTCGAGATCGACTTTGCCCACATGTTGTTGGCGGTGATCCATAAGAGGGCATTCCGGACCACCACCACTTTACCCTTCCCGTGTATGATCTTTCAGTTGTGCAGTATTTCTAGGCTACATATCTGGCATTGCGACCCTTTGGTACAGGTGACCGGGACCTTTCATATCGACCTTATTAGGGATGAGGCCAACGTAGCTGCCCCACGACGTGGTCCACAGATTAAGGTGCCATAATTAGGAGCAGATTTAGTAGATGATGTGGAGCAGATACAGGGTGATGACCCTGCCCCTCCAGCCCACACTGATGATGCCCAACCTCCCCATCTCAGGCCGTTAGTCGGGCCCCTAGCTCATCCAGAGCCACCCCACCTTCAGGAACTGTTGTTGTGCCCTAGGCTCGAGTTCATAAATTAGAGGCTCAGATGGTCACACTGCTCCATCATGTGAAGCCATGGATGCAGCGGTCTATTGCGGAGTCTGAGGTTAGAATGGGGCAAAGGATGGAGACCATGACGGAACACAAGGTCCAGGGCATTCATAAGCGCCTGGATGCCTTTGAGTTGAGAGTCCTCGAGCGACCATCCCCTGCTACAGATCTGTCCTCCTTCCAGGCCGAGTTAGACAGTCTCTGGTCCGACCTTGATGCCATAATTGCCCCTCCCACAGATGAGCTAGAGTCTGCACCTATTGCATTATCTGATGATACAATGCTTGATGCTTTATTTAGCGATAATCTAGCACAGCCCGAGCCAACCCGTACTTATGGGAAGAGGCACCGCTCTAATCACATCTCTGATACTACTGAGGATGTTCGAGCTAGGAAGTGGGAACGCCAGCAAAATGAGCAATCTAGGAGAGCATCCATTGTGGATGAGGAATTGCGCCAGCAGAGGGTTCGTGAGAGTGCTCTTGGAGCCTCAATATCAACGCCCACCACTGAGGGCATTATGCGAGATATGTGAGCACTACTGATGGTGCGGTAAGAGTGATTGATAGCACTACTGAGGGTGCTGCGATAGATGATGTGAGCACTACTGAGGGTGACCCATGTTTTATTCCAGCGAGCTCCGGGAAACCGGACCCACCCGCTTGTTGATAAGTCTTCGGTGTTATGCGCCACAAGTTTGCTTCACCTAATCCTTTAATCTTTACTTTTGTGAATTGGGGACAATTGCACTCTAATTTTGTGGGGGTGGGGTAAATGTATTGCGAGTGATAGGGTGAAGTCTGAGTAACCCAACTCATAATCCTCTGTTGGGGTTTTCTTGCCTGTGTTCTTTTTCCCCAAGAGACTCTCTTACTTTCTGTTGAACCAGCATGTATTAGGAGTGTAAGTGTAGAAGCATGCGAGAGAATGAAGCATGATGGCATAATTAAGAATGAAAAATGATACCCGTCCAAAATTTGTGATATGTGCTAAAATCTGTAGGCTAGAATGAGTTGAATGTGTTGGCTTTGAGTATGACATGATAAAGCACAAACTTGATCTCATTACTTAAGCTAAAACTTGAACTGGGTAATCTAATAATCTGATAATGAAACTATGTGCCAAGAGTGTGTGAGAATGGTTGATTGTTCAGACAGTTTTGTGCCAATCTAGAATTTGCCCCGTTGGTCCTGCTAAGATAACCTAGGCTAGAAGTTCGGAAGTGATCATAGGCCATTGCTCAAATTAGTCCACTTAAGACTACAATGATCTAACCAAATGTTAGTAATATTCCCTTTTGATCCAAATATTTGAGCCTAAAATTGACCAATTCTTTTGATTCACCTAACTCACCTTCCCTTAAAAACATTGTCTTGGCCCTGGTCCCTCCTTGGACATGTGCACCTCGACATCAGCCAAAAGCCTAAGTTGAGGGTGGCTAAGCCCAAAAGATACCTTAATCTTGACCCTGGTCTGACATCGAACATTGTGCACCTTAACTAATGCAAAATGCATAAGTTGAGTGTGGCGATGAAAAAGTAAACCAAATGAAGAAAAGGTATGGAAAGAGTTTCATGTTAAAAAGAGGAAAAATTATGAAAGAGGATGTGACTTTGTGCAAAATAAGCAAAAGAAAAGTGTGAAAAGAAACAAAAGAAAAGAAAGTAAAAGAAAAAGAAGAAAATGAGAAATAAGAGTCAAAAACTCAAATGTCGCATCCTTGGTTGAAAAGAGTTAAGGGAAAGAAATTGAGATGAAAAGTTGCCAACAATAGGTCAAGGAAGAGGTAAATAGACAATGTAATGTCAATGAGGTCATAAAGTTACTAAAAAGTACCTAAATGTACCACACCTGACCCTGAACCTACGTTACAGGCTAACAAAAGCCCTATAGTGATCTTAAAGTCACTAAAAAGTACCTAAATGAGTTAGCTTGTTCAGTCTAAGAAAAAATATTTTCACTCAAAAAGAGAGTCGGGATAAAAAGCCATGTTA